ACCATTGTTCGCAAGCACACGGCCGTCGCCATGTAGTTTGTCGATGATATGCCTCTCTAATAAACGTGCTTGATATTCTCTAGTGCCAAATGGCAAATGTATCAACTTGACACTTTTTCGTCACCGAGCTACTAGTACATGCGTTGTTGCAGGCGCGCTTGGTGGCGACGCGCCATGGACGCGGCGGTCGCCACGCGGCGCGTGATCTGGTCGCGGATGGCCTTGAAGAGCGGCTCGGCGCGCTGGTTCGCCAGGCACGTATCCGCCTTGGGGTCGGCGGCGGCCATGGCGCTGCGGGTGCGGCGTGGGCCGACAAAAGAGGGTATCTGCGCTTCGAGCACCTTGGCGCGGGCATCGATCACCTCCAGCGTTAGCATCCCTCCTGGCATAGTACTCTGCATCAGGTATGGGTCGACGAGGTCCCTAATCACCGAGAGTGAGATGGTGACCATCTTGACCTGCATGTACCGGGCGCGGAGGTAGAAGAGGCTATTGACGTCGCTCGGAAGGTACTGCCCGCGGCTACCACAGAGCACCGACGACGACGTGTTCGAAACGAGCGTTTCTGCCCACGGCGAAAATGCGTATGGCATCTGGACCAACTCGAGCGAGAGCCACAGCAGCTCCTGCGTCCCTTTCGAGAACGGGATGCGGTATCGCGTGTCACGCAAAAGGTGCCACAGCACAGGAAAGGCGTCCGCGATTCGAACTTTGTGCAGCGCCAGCATCGACAAATCTTGCTCGACGCTCGAGTGGCCGTGCCAGGCCAAGGACGCTTCTAGCGCCGGCGACGGCTCTCCCGTCGGTAGCCGAAAGAGGCCGTACTCAAAGTGCTCCATGAGTCGGTGGAGATGCGTGCTCTTGGCGTGGCGGCGGACGTGGCCCGTGAGATAGGCATCGGCAAGCACTTCGCGCTCGTAAAAGAAGCGCGTGCCCGTCTCGGCGTACGCGGGCGACGACCAGAGCAGACTCGGGTCGGCAAACACAACGTTGCCAGCGTCCAGAACGATGACGTGCTCGATGGGCGCGTGGAGCAGCGCTAACAACGTGAGCGCTTCGCCATGGTACGATGCCGCGTCCCGCGCGGTGAGCAGGCCAAACGAGATCAAGTCGGCGCAGGCATCGTAGACGACCACGTCGAGCTCCCGCAGTAGCTCACGCGAGATTGGCGACAGCGCCCCCATGCAGTGGTAAGCAAAGATGGCATCGCGACTCCCGAGCGTGCGCAGCTCTTTCACCAGCGACAGCCCGAGCGGCAGCGTGGCGTCCGTGAGGCAGACAAGCAGGCCGCGATGCGTGGCTTGTCGCAGGCCATGCCGCTGCAGCACGCGCGCCTGCAGCCGGCGGTAGTCGAGCACGTCGTAGCGGTAATAACACTCGTACAGCAGCACGTGCAGCAGCAGCATGCTGCAGAGCGCGAGCGCGCCAAAGTACACGCAGTACCCGAGCGTCGACCGGACCTTGACCATGGTTTGGTGCTGGCGGATTGCGGCCAGCGTATCCGGAAACTAGGTACGTTTTACGGATGCCATGTGGGCAATAAGGCTTCATAATTCTTAGGCGATTTTAATTTCATAGGCCGCGCTGGACGGATACCACGATGCGCCGCTGTCCAGCGGAGCCCGCCGGACGAGCGACTTGGCAGATAGAGACGGCAAAGCGCTCGGCCTCTCTGCAAGCCAGCTGAGAAGGCCCTTGAAGACGTCCCGGGCGCCTATGAGATTGCGCATCGAGACGCGCTCGGCGGTGGCATGCGATGATGGACCGACGCCCAAGTGCACACAAGGGGCCTCAAAATGGGCCTTGAGCACGGTCGTGATCTATTGCAACCTCAAGCTTTGCCTCCGCGACTGCAAACGTACCTTGGAGGCCGACATTGCGGGCTGCAGGGACGGCGGGGTCCGCCACACTTTCTCGAGTTCGCGTCGCGCCGCTTCGAGATGGACCTACGCCGAGCAGGTCAGCCAGTATGACGACGCGTGCATGAGTGCACCATATTCGGGTCCTCGCACCACCACGGGATGTTAGCAGTAACAGTCGCGCGCAAACGATTACTCGTGGGCAGTGTCTTGAACATGGCTCGCACGTGCTGCAGCACGCGCTCCGCCGTCGTCTTGGGCTCCTGGGGCGGAACCGTGTGCAGTGTCAGCTTCGTCGTAGCCGAGCGCGCGAGCACGGACGCATTGTCGAGCGACGCCAGAAGTGACGTTATCCTTGGTGCGGGCGCAACAAACGCATTAGGTGCTGTCACGTCATAGAAAGCCGGGTCGGTGAAGCGGCCCGATGACGGGTCCACGAGGCGATGAACAAGCGCGACAAGGTCCAGCATCGGCTCTCGGACCGCGCCACCGTGGAAGCCGCCATGGCAGTCCATACTCGGACCGTCGACAGAGATGGCCACGTCCAGCCGACCCGGCATCGCGTACGGTACGCTTGGCGTCGCGTCGTCGTGCCACGTATTTTCCAGAATCCACACCACGTCAATAGAGCCAAGAGTGCTCTTTTGATCGGCAATGGCATCGTAAAAGCCCCGCAGTTGATGGTCGCCGTGGAGTAGGAAGATGACGTTGGGCAAAGCGGCGCCGTCGGCGACATGCTCCCGCACGGCGGCGAGGGCAGCCACCACAGGACCTTTTCCATACGCCACTCCACTACCGTAGAGATAGCCGTCTTGACCGCGCAGTGAGAAGGCATCTGCCTCTGCTGCGTCGACATCACTACGCTCCCACGGTTAGCCAAACGTTGGAGGATGTCCGATGACGTACTAGTGGCCGCAAATGAGCACTGTGGGCTTGGTCGGGTCGTTCCCAAGCTTGCCAATCACGATCGGGTTGATGTTCGGACCGCAGTGCACCAGTCGGCACTCGGCGCCGAGCTGCCGCAGCAAACCCTACGCTCTTTTGGTCAAGACAGCGCAAACGTGGTGTCGGTACCTTGACAAACTTGGCGGCCAGCCAGCAATCATCGACTAACTGCGGGTCGACGCTGACGCTCGGGATGCTCACAAACTTGCGCAAGAGGTGGATCATGGACGCGTCCGACGTCTGCTTGTTGTACATGGCGCTGACGCTCATGAGACTCGAGTCCATCTTGAGCTTCTGCGGTCGCGCCGGTCCTTGGCTCTCATTCGTATTCGAGTTGGTGTTGGTCGAGTTGGTCGTGTTGGAAGACGGGCGCATGTTGGAGATGAAGTCAATGTCCCACACCTTGACGGTGCTGTCCTCGGACGCGCTAAAGACAAACATCTCGGTGCTGAGAATGCTCGAGACGCCGCCGCGGTGCCCATGCAGCGTGTGCACGCACGCGAGCGACTGCGTGTTCCAGATGCGCACGGTCTCGTCGGCCGAGCCCGAGCAGATCCGGTTCTTGTCTTCGAGGCTGCACACCGAGAGCACCTACATGGCCATTGATACATTGAAAGAATACGAGGACAACGTACGGCTGCGCTGTGGCCCTTGAGAATGCCGTTGCAGCGCATTGTGTCCATGTCCCAGCAGCAGATCGTCTTGTCTTGCGAGGCTAGATGGGTCGTATCAGACAATGTGTCGACAATGAAAGAGACTGTACCCGAGAAGAGTTGGTTGCCGACCGCAACGAGGTCGAGGACGCTGCCGCGGTGGCCGTGCAGCGACGCGAGCACGCTCATGTCGGCCACATCCCAGCACTAGTAACATCATCGTCGCATACAACAGGAGAAGACGGCAACGTACGACGATCGAGTTGTCGCTGGAGCACGTAAAGAGGAGCGGTTTCTTGCCGGCGGGCGCAATGTAGCGGATGCCGTAGACAAAGCCGTGGTGGTTGCTCATGCTCTGCCACTCGGTCGTCGGCGCCAGGATCGCACTCGGCGACGATGCGTAGACGCTGGCGACCTTGACGGTCGTGTCCTGGCAGGCCATGAAGAGCGTGTCGTTGGTCGACGTCATGGAGAGAATGTGGCCATTGTAGCCCGTGAGCACTTGGACGCAGGCAAAGTCGCGGTCGCCGTCCCAGACGCGAAGCGTCCGGTCCACGGACGCCGAGAGAAGAAGCGACGTGGACGGCACGCCGCAAAGGCACGTGATCGAGCGGCCATGGCCGCGTAGGCGATGCGTTGGGCGAAAGGTAGCAATGTCCCAGACGCTAATCGCATTGTCCACCGCCCCAATGCAGAGGCCTGCGGGCAGGAGTGCGATGGCCGTGATGGCGGTTGACTGGCGCAGGCTCATGAACGGCGCTGTGTCGTCGTTGGCATGACGGCTCGTGCGCTTGTTCATGCTGCGTCCGACGAGGGTCGTTGGCGACTGACCGGACGCGGCTATTTTCGGTGACACGCAAAAAGGATTCTTCTAATTTTGCGATCCCACCCAAGACGCAATGGGTAAAACCCAGGGTAAACCCCGCGCCGATTACATAACCCGCGCCACGAGAAGAAGCACCGAAGCCGAGTTATCCGCCAGAAGGTGTAGCATCCACGTAGCCAGGATAACACGTCACCGAGACCTTTGACGTCACGAACAGCTTCACGAACGTCCTGCCCGCCGCCGCCGATACGAGTACGTTTTACTCGCGAGAAAAACGCGTTGGGTTCAAGAAGCCAAGCTGACGACAGAGCGCGATCGCACTGCGGTGGAGAGAAGAAGCATATCTTTCGTCGCGTCCGCCCGCCGTGCGCCAGCGACCACGGCCCTGTACAGTGATCGGGCAGGCGAGACCGGTCCTTTAGTGTACCGACCAGTACCGTAGTACTTCTAGCGCCAAGTTTCGTGGCAAGCGACCCGATCGCCCTGCGGATTTTGCAAGTTTACGTGGTGCTCGATCGATCATCTCTCATTTCTCTCGAGCACCAAGAGCAGTGCAACGAGCTACCGTATCGGGTAGGCTGCTAGCGTCGATAATCATGCACGTGCGACGATCGGCCAGACCCGATCACGTTGAAGTAAGATAAGTAACTAGCGAGAAAGGGCGCCGGCGTGTCCCTGCTACTAGCATCTCTGCGCTCTGTCCTTGGGCTCGGCCAAGGCTGCGGCTGCATTGCAGCACGCCTGGGGCCTTACTACTGTACCAACTCCGACTTGTAGTTAGTCGATGCGAAGGCTGCAACACGCAAAAGCCAGCGATCGGCCCGCCAAAAAACGTGACACGGGGTCGCCGCGTCCTGTGATTGGGTCGTGCCGCAGTTGGTGCGCTGGACGTCAAAGGAAAAACGCACTTTAACGCGTACGTTAAACGCAAGTGCAAAGACGCAAAATCCGATTTCAACCATGAAACGCAGAGGGAGCCGCCGGTACAGCGCGTCGCGCGGGATGCCATCGGAAGCCGAAGAGAACGACCATACGCACCAGGTGCTCATGTACGAGACGCCGAGCGAGATGGCGGCCAAGGGCCTTCCGAGCGTCAACTCGTCCGAGGGCCTCGATGCGCACAACAACTCGTTCATGACCTTTCGCCACAAGGCGTCGATCACCGCGCTCGCCATCCTCAAGAAGACGCAGCGCCTCTGCGCCGGCACGCAAGACAACCTCATTGTCGTCTGGGAGCTCGACGAGTTCACGCCCGCGTACTCGCTGCAAGGCCACACGCGCTCGATCACATGCCTCGAGAACGTACCGGGTACGCAGGTCCTCATTTCGGCGTCCGTGGACCAGACCATTCGCGTCTGGGACGGCGACCGCGACTTTGCCTGCGTCCAAGTGCTCACGGGCTACAATGGCCACATTCTCTCCATGACGTCGACCAACGACACGCTCTTCATGGCCTGCCAGGACACGACCGTCAAGGTCGCCAGCGTCTACGCATCGTCGCCGAGTGCGATCCTGGCGCCGACAACCGAGTGGCAGAGCATGAGCAACCACCACGGCTTTGTCTACGGCATCCGCTACATTGCGCCCGCCGGCAAGAAACCGCTCCTCTTTACGTGCTCCAGCGACAACTCGATCGTCGTACGTTGCCGTCTTCTCCTGTTG